ATATCCATATTATATGTAATACAATACATATTATACATATTAAAATATATGCAGCTACAGTCACTTTTTATACATATTACATAAGTATAAAACACATATACACACAGTTTCTCTCACACATATACATCTCTATAAATATGTATATATCCCCATGTATACGTATGGGGATACTAGATATACACAGTACATCATTATACCTATATATGTATGCGCACATACATACTTTATACGTACTATAGAATACATATGGAATCTGTAATTATATAGTCATGCAGACACACACATTTTAATATATATTCATTATATATAGTAACATATCTATGTACATGCAGTCACACACACATACACCCCCATTATATATCTTTATGTTGACTTACATACATGTATACACACACAGATCGACCTATCTTTTTTTATATATATATCCATGTATATAAATGGATAAAGGTATATAATACATCACATCTATATCGCACACATTCATGTTTTATGTATAATGCATCTAAAGTATGTATATACACAATCACACACACCTTTATATATCTTTACATATAGAGAAATGTATGCAGACATATATTTCTATGCACACACAAATATACATATCTTCTTAATATATAAACATATCGAAATATATATCTCTCCATGTATATATATGTAGGGATACCATGTGTGTGTATATATATGGATATAGATACAACATATATACACATGTACACACATACACACATTCATATTTTATATACTACAAACCACATACATACAAAATATGTATGCATATACACAGACACTGTCACGCACCCACATCTTTTTCATACGTGTGTATACACACACACACACACACACACACACATAAAAAAAGAAGGTATCTTTAATAAGGATGGAGACATATCTATATTTGTATCTGTATCTATCTCCCCATCCATATCAATGTAGGGATATATCTACAGGGATATACATATATAATACATTATACATACATACACATATATATTTACAACTATACCCTTATACACACGTTTATCTATCTTTGTGTTACATATACATCTCTATAGATGTATATATCTCCGTGTGTGTGCATGTATATATGGGGATATACATAGATAATTTTTTTATGTCTACAATATTTAAACATATATTCAGAGACCATGTCTCCTTCTCTCTCACACCCCTCATCCCTGTTCATATATCTTTATATATTCTAATATCTTCAATATATGTATTTAGATACAATTTCTATGTATATATACAGACACATAGCCTATCACATCTGTATATAAAGACATATACATCTATCTTTTTATATATATGTATATACACAGTCACATACCTACCTTTGCATGTATATAAATCTTCTCATATATATGGAGATGTATGTTTGGAGATTCATATATGATACATTCTATACATATATGCACAAACATATGTATATACAGTTATTTGTATCTTTATATATGTTCGTCGGGTTCTGTGTATGTATGTGGGATATACATATAGATTTCTATGAATGTGCATATACACACACACATTTCATGTGTATGTATGTATGTATATACACAGGCACATCCTTATATAGATATATATGTATTTTTTTATATATGTCTATATTTCACTGTCTGTATACATACTATATATAGGGATGTATATATGGGACATACGCATATAACAGATTATACTTGTAAGTGTACACACATATATATGTATCATCTCCCACATATTATATGTGCATGTGTATGCAAAACCAGAATTTTTTCATATATACCTATCTCCCCGTGTATATATCGGGATGTACATATATCATACATTATACCTACACACACACTTTTTTTTTTTTAAACATACATATGTTAAAAAGCTGGAGGGAATTAACCTCTCCCAGCTCTCCAAACTATGACGAGTGCCTTCAGCAGGAGCAAACTTGGGGCCCTTCAACCCTTCATGAATTACTATTCTGGTGCAGACTTCCGTGGAGCAAACCAAGAGATGCCATGGTGGGTTTCATTTCCAGGACGGAGCTACACCATTGTTCCGTCTCACCTGGTTTACAGCACACAGCGCAAGGCAAAAATGCAGTTTGCATTTACATTTTCAAGCAAAACTTACCGCTGCTAGGCTCATTGTAGTATCGACTGATGTAATTATTCATGTCATCCTCTGAAAGAAGAAGAAAAGCAGCCGTTAGAAGACCATTTATTTGATTACACAGTTGAAATTCCACCCTGTGAAAGGCTCTCCTCTGCCCCGTACACCCAGAGAACCAACTTTTGGGTTTTTTGTATTTTTAGCCTGAGGACCAGATGAGATTTGGTGACACACAACACCCACCATCCATCCACCCGTGGCTGCAGCCAAAATAGGGATCACAATTTCTTGCAGTTCTTTATGGGCCCACCCTGGAAATGAGGCATTCTGGGTCCAAAGAAAACGTGCTCCATGATCTTTGCAGAGACTGATGCGGGGCTGACCAGCTCCCCGGGCCCGTCTCCTCGCCCCTTGTAGAGACAAGTGTAACGCTGGGCTTTTTCTGGTCAGCAGGGCCCTCCCTTCCCTTTTTTCCATTCAGAATGAATAAAGAGAGTTATTTTGTTGTATATTACATTATATACATATGTAATGATGTACAGCATAATATTAACATTACGTTATCTGTTGGCTTAAAACATACTATAAAGATTTTTACAAGTCAAGGATCTAGTACTACACTCGTAGTATGGACATGAGACTTACGCCTGAACACCAGTAATGAAGACGTGACCACAAAAGGGAAAGCAGCAGCTATATTGCATAGGCAGCTTTTAGATGCTGCAGGCAGCAGTGAGATTTCCTGTTATCTTACAGAAAAGCACAACATTTTACGGTTGCTGAAAAAGACAACAACAAACTCCTCTTGTTGCAATTCTGAGCAGAACGCAAATATTGCTGCTAAGAAGACAACATCGGCAATCCAGGAAGAATGACAAGCAACCTGACCTGCCCGATTTGCAGTGTATCGTGCGCTCTAAAAGCATTCTCTCCTTTTAAGTGCTCTTTTTGATACCATGTTTCAGAAAACCATGCTCATCCCCTTTGAGCCAGATTTCCTTCATCCCCCTGGGTCTCTGTGGCTACCGTCCTGCTTTTTCACAGCACATTGCGGTTTGCAGGTGAAAGAAACAGATGTTTTCTGGGGAACACTTTCTCCACACAACAAGACCCAAACCACTAAGCACTCTGTACCTGAAATAGCTGCACTCATAAGAAGGCAATCTAACCTGACACTGAAAGGCAACGTGGTTGTTTTCCTGGTTTCATTGGCTCTTAAAAGCTTTTTTGGCCCTTGTTGATCTTTAAATGCCTGCAGTCAGAGGTGTGCTTTCTGCTAATGTCTGAGTTTAAAAAAGAGGCCTCAGAGTAGCTCAAGGCAATGCTGCTGAATTAGGAGTACATTGCAAGGCTTTTCAGCTATCTGCTACTAAAATACACTTCATTTCAATCATGCATAATTTACACTCTAAATGCCACCAAACCTGCCAGCCAGTATAGATACAGGTTCTTGTTCAGGCATGGAACCTTCGGCTACAGTCAGAAAATACCTGCATATCTGTATTTCTGGTAAAGCGCTTTCATCGCATTTAACTTACGAGTCTAATTCTAAGGAGAGAAATGAGGCAAAGAGAACTGCAGCTCGGCCTGGGCGAGGGCATGTTCTGCGGGGGGGGTCGCCCCTCCTCGTCACCTGGTGAAAGCACACGGCCACGCTCTGCGATGAACAGGGCACTGGGGTGCTCTCACCAAGGGCTGCCCCAAATGCCGAGATGCTTTGCACCGAGGACAGAAAACAACTCGGAAAAGGTATTCATCTGCTTTTCATGTCTTATGGCAAGGCTCACGTGAAGTCGTCTTTAGGATGGCATACCTTTAAAACTGCCCTGGCCATCTGTCTGTCAACTAACAGAACATACCAGGGCACTATTTGCAAACCAATTCAGCAAAGATACAGACAGACTGCTCTTTAGATCAACAAAGGCCAATGCCAAAAGCTGAAAACCCCGTTAATGCACTCACTCGGATCCCTTTGAGTGGTGAGGAAAATCGCCGATTGTCCTGGCTGTGCGTGTGACCGCTTGCACGCAAGACTGGGAGGGCTGCCTCGCTGCCTACTGTCACGTTACTATAGGTGATGGCCTTGCTAACGTCCTTGTTTTACATTGCTCGTCTATCTATATGTACAATACGTACATATAAATATATACACATGTGCATGTAAAATATAAAATGCATGTACATATATTTACCTCAAATAGCTTCTTATGAATAAAAAACAATAGTGAGTAATGGAAAAACAACAGCAAAATAAATATTTCAACAACAGATTAAGTTTCTGAATCATTACATTAAAGCAAACTGACAATTAACAAACTCATCTTAGTCATATGGGAGTCTCAGCCGCTTTGGGCATAAAAGGCTATAAACAATTCCAGTTATCACTCATTATAGTCTACCTTGCTGAAAGGAAGGAGTTTGAAAAAAAAAAAAAGCCACAAATATAGAACTGAAAGCAACTATTTGTGCATATAAAATGTATACACAAAGTACAGTGTGGCACGTTCCTGTGGAACACTGCTTAAGGACTTGATGGTGATTTACAGTGAGATGAAATCCCTGCCGCTCGGTATGTGCAGTCAAATGGAGTACAACTACATTTGCAGCTTGGTGGCATGTAGGAAGTTGGTATGAGTAAGCAGGGGGGGACCAGGTTTACAAGAGGACAGATTGCTTTTATTATTTAAATTCTACATAGTGTTTTCTGCTGACAGTGTATTTTAGTTTCAGCTCCAAAAAGGAAATTGTCATAAGAAATACTTGATTCTTCATAGTTTTCTGGGGTTTTTTTAAAACGTCGTGTTTTTCTTATTTTTGCCATCGTGGAATTTTCAGGATCCAGAAGATTTGATTTCCCTCCTTTCCTAGAAATAAACCCATGTCTTCAAATACACAGCAGTGTTACCTGCACTTCCTTTTCCAGAAGAGAAACTTCACATTTAAGTCCTCAAGCCATAGCAATGCCCAAATGGTATTTATAGTAAACTAAGGAACTGGCAGTAAGCAGAAAGCAAAAGTATTATTTCCCTCATTTCCCCTGGAAATGGCAACCTGAGGAAAATGTCTAGGGATGGCGATTGGGATCCTCCTGCTAGATGCAGCAGGAAGAACGAAAAGGAAATCTGGTGACAGTAGTTGTGAGTTGAGGAGGTAGAATCGGAACAGTGAGGCAGCTCTTCCCCAGGTGAAAAGCCAACAAGGATGGTTCGATTATCTTCCGTGGAAAGCGAGAGCAATGGAAAGCTGTACGATACGCAGCAGCAGCGTGGAGGAATTCAGCCGAGAGAAGGTTTTGCTGGGCAGGAGAGCAAATGAGCAGACACAGGCTGTTCCCTACGGTCCGTGAGCATTGCTTGCTCAAGTAGCATGGGGTGTGAATGACTGCCAAAACAGCCTGACAAAATGAGAGCAGGAACTGCTTCACCTACTACTGGCAGATGGCACCTATATAACTCTAAGAGGTGAGGCAGCAGAGTAACGTGGGACCACAAACAGACTGCAGGGCTGACTCCAACAGGACCTGGACTTTTTACTAGACAGAAGGGAATTGCTGGCTGGGAAGGTTGCTCAGACTCCTACCTACCTCGCATAAGAGCCTTCCCTGACACTGTGACCGACCACTTCTGACAGATGGTAAGTGCAGTAAAGTCAAATCAAGAAGGGGAAATAAGTCCCATCTCTTAGCCTGCTATCCAAATCTCCGTTATTGAAAAAACGTGCAGCTCTTGGTCAGGATCTGTCTGACAGCTACTGGATTTTGTCTGATGAAGGCTTTCAAATTATCTGCCAGTTCTTTTCCTGCAAGACTAAGAACACACGCTAAAATGGTTCAGGGAGTAATAAACTATTGAGAGTACAGTCCCATATAATCTCATCTGACCCAAGAGACAACACTGTAATCTCTCTCTCCTGGCCCTATAAAAACCTAATAAATTTGGTGAAACACATAAATGACATTCCACACAAGGCAGATCTCTCTTTTAGTTCTATAATCCCTCAACGGTGACCTTTAATTGTTTCATCAATGACTTGAGCGAATGAATCTGCAACACCCCTGCATACAATAAATACCATTTGCACATCGTTTAGATTAGACGCCTTAAAAAAGGGATTTCTTTTGAAATATTTCATTATTACAGTATTTTACTTCTTGTTTTTATTGCCATTGATTGTACTGCCTTCTGTCTCTCAAAGCTGAATGTTCTGAACTGGAGGCTTATTTTTTCTGCTGTCTAGCCTCCCACTGACGATGAGAGTCCTCAGAGTACAGTAAGGTCTTACCCTGACTTTCCTCCAGAAAGCAATCTTTACTAGGAGGTTTCTAAAGAAGTAGATCTTTCATCTTCATCACTGCTATTTGACACCAGCGCCTTCTCCTTAAAGTACCGCTACCGCTTAGAAGCATTTAGGAAAGAAAAGTAGGATAAAATACACTTTGCAATAAACCCCACTAAGATACACTGAGCAGGGAGGTTTTTCAAGACACAAGTTATAAGATCCACTTATCCCTAAACACTTCTGAAAATAAGAACAGTGATGACAGCTACGCTGCTCTGACACTAGCCAATACCACTGCCACAACCTGACTTTGCACGAAAAGAACACAGCTTTAGTACGACACTGTAGCGCAGTAAGAAAGGAGGACAGAATGTACGTAAAAAAGGACATCTACAGGTGTTTCTGAGAGCACACTGGCAATCCACAAGCGAAAATTCCCCAATGAAGCTGTAACCTTCCCAGCAAGTTTTCCACTGCAGCTTGCCATGCAGGCTCTGGCACTCCACATCTGTCTAACCTTGGCCATCTGAACTTCACCATCACCAAATTCTCAGCCAGATCTAACCTCCTCTTCTCCTCAGCAGTCCAACCACAGCTCACTGCTCACTTGTAAATTAATTTATTAAGGCTTATGCATGCTCCCTAGGCTGTGCTGTACTGCCTAGTTCACCTTTCTGGTCTCGTGCAAGACAACCTGAGCAGAGTTTTTTCCCCTCTGCTTTGCTGGCCCTAGAAGGTCTCTCCTTTTCCTCCTGACAACACGGAAAGTTTGTGCCAACAGGAAACACGAACAG